CATAAAAATACTGTAATGTTGTTGACATATGTTAGAAAAGACTGATGAAAATATAGTCCATAATGATCGTAACAAGAACGGAATAATGTAAACCTATCCAAATATTAACCTAAAGATCACAATAATGGATTTCTTGACCCAGTAGCTTACTGGATGAGACTTTATACATTTACAACCAAAAATACTAAGTTCCATTAGAAAAGTCAATACTGGTTTACAGGTACCTACAACGGATGAATCCCAAATGGTTTCAAATATTACTTGAATTACACTACTAGTCATAATCCATCTAATATGTTATAATACCTGTAAGTTAATCAATTCTCTTATTGTAGACATTTATTAAAATAGTGGTTGGTATGCGTAGAAAAAGACAAACAAAAAAAATCATAAGATGACACTAAAATAATCATTTAGTTTTTTTACAAATTTCCAGTCTATAAATGACCTGATAACTTTAGGTAGCATAAAAAATAAGACCATAATTTGTAAATAATTAAACTTATATCACTTCATTTTAGTCTAAACTATAAAACATAACATAACTAATAACTTAAAGAAAGCAATCATCATGGTATGTTAGTTAATCAAATCATATTTAATGTTGGTATTTAGAAAAGAGAAAAAAAAACCAAAATAACTAATTGATACATAGAGATAATAAGACATTTTGTATAAGATTGCCAAGATGTAATTTAATTGTTTATAGTAAAATAATAATGTTTATTTTTATGATAAGAAATATCACCGTTTATTGTTTACATTTACCAGTAATATTTAACATAAAAGCTAATCTACAACAATATATTGATGGCTGAAATTTATTCATTGAAGTTTAAACAAAGATACTAATTTAAGAAATTATATTAGACTTCAATGATTAATAAATAATTTTAATAGTTAAAATCGTTAGTCAATTGAAACTAAACCGCCATGGAAAACCTGAAAGCATTGAAAGGCCGTTTCGTCCTATTGTGGGACTCGTCAATAGGACGTCAGTAGGTTTTCTATGGTGGTCTAGCTTCAATTGACTCATGATCTTGACTTTTAGAATTGCTATCATACCCAAAAAAGATCTTTTGAGGTTAATAAATAATAAAACAGATTTTTTCTAATTTGCTTAATCATATAAATCAGTATTCAAGTATGTACATACAGCCGATAAGTCTTTCTTAACTTCTATCGATATTAACTAGTGCTAGAGATTGGATTTTAATATACTGAATGATTTTCATCTAAGTTTGTGAAAATGTACTGTTCAAAGTATATAATATGAGATTATTAATATTATGGGTGCTCAATCATTGTTGGATGCATGTAATATCACAATAGATAGAAAAATTATATGATTAGCTATGAACTAGGTTGATTCATGTAATCAAGGGTATGGATTGAATATTACAACCGATATCTATGTTTTGAAGCTAATAATGACAGTCAATCAAAAACGTTCATTATCGACTAGCGTGGTAAAATATTTTAAAATTCTAAGGCTTGATATCACCAAATAGAGCTCTAACTTGATAATATAGAATATAAAAGTTTTATTAGTAGAAAGAGCTTGAAGTGTCATTTATAATGTAGCTTTAAATCAATCATGAAATAGCAATTAAATTAATTTAAGTTTTAAAAATTTGTCTATTCCTATTACCTCAGTTGGATGCATATTTTAAAATATACTAAATCTTATTTAAGTCAATACATCTTCATTTTATGTTCTGTATTGCTCTATTGTGTCTTTTATTTCATATTTCTATACTGAACATTCATATTACAGTTGGATTTGAACATGCAGTGCATCATAGTAAATGAATTTGTATGAAGTAATGTAAAATAAAACATTAAAAAAAGACTGTGTTTGTTATTTCATCATACATGTAAAAAAATAATAAACAAGCCAGATCATTTTGAAGTTTTTGGATGTTCCTCAAATATAAGCTAGTGTTTTTGTGTATGGATAAAATAATTGAAGCAGTCATATATTAAAATTCCAAACTTATATTTTCTATTATATTTGGTCTAGCGTGAAACAGATTCATATTGTGTTAAAGACATAAATTGCAGGTTTGAGTTTTCTCATTTAACTTTCAAGAAAATTTAGTTTAAAGTTATCCTGAGATATCTTGAATGTCATGATTTTTTCATAGTATCATTATCATTATTATCTGATTAAGTCAAGAACTGAATCACCTAATAAACGTTGATATGTGAGCTCGCTGGTCAGATACGTTGATATATTTTGCCAAATTTTGCAAATCAGTTATACTTTGAATATAGGCTAGGAAATTCAAAAGGCGAGACTATAATTTACGGACGACCCAATCAGGAATATGACAACAGGTCTTGGATTTTGGTACGAAATTCACTCATCCATTTGACGAAATACCGTTTTGGCGTTATAGCTGATGTCCTTTCGTGATGAAAACTCTAAATCTAATTCCTAACCTTTTCTATCAACTGATAATTCTAATTCCCTACACTGGTTTATAACCTTCATCTGATCCTAATTATTATGTGGACGCTCTCAAGGTCACCCTAGCGTTGCTCAAAGATTGTTCGTAAATTATAGTCTCACCATTCAAACTTCATGTTTCGGCATTTTAAAAAAATCTTAGCTAAATATATCAAAATCCAAGTATTGGTGTTCCTTTTTAGATTAAAACTTACGATGAACTCTTTAATAAAGTAAAACATAAACATTCAATTTCAAAATGCAATCATGTAAATTTATTCATTATTTTGACAGTTTTTCAAAAGTCCATGTGTCAAGACAGTACCATTAATTCGGTTCCCATTATGAATATGTGGAAAATATAAATAATGATGTTCATAATCCATTTGTTTTACTCTTTATTCGCTGGGTGTTTGTCATAACGAATACCAAATAGGACAAAATCACGTTTCCAGATTACGTTGCTATTCTGTCTTGATTGAATAGTTGTGGAGATAGGCTTAATAAACCTATTTCGTAAATAATTTCTGATAGTTTTTGCGTTTATTTTGTTTATTTCCACAATCTGTACATTTATCACTAAACGATTGTACTTGTTGTTAAAGTGTGTGACTTACTTACTTGCTTGTTTTTCTTCCGTTTTGAAGAACGCATAGCACGACATTGTTAATCGCGCATTAATAAATACACTCTTATGCACACATGCCTCGTTCTATCATGCCTGTGCATATAATAACCAAACTATTAATTAACTATCATCTATAGTTATAAACTGTTGTGACATTCCTATTGCATTCTACGTCAGGAAAACTACTGGAGCCATATCTATCTCATTGGAATTATTAATTATCTATAATTGTGGGTTTTTGGTACCAAGCACAATGGAACACGCAACAGCCAGCTGATTTAAGTAACGTACCTGAACTTTTCATTTTGAGTTAATAATTTATAAGTTGTTTATTGTTACATTAACTTTTGGACGTCATAACATGATTGTTATTCCTTTTCGGTTGATATACATTTTGGTCCACCACATAGTCAGCTGAATTGATTGTTTGTATATTTTTTCTTTCATTCTACATAATGCATCACTTACTTTACGGTTGTCAACTTTCGGAAATTCTTTACGGGTTGCACTACCAACTTGCGTTGGATGACTCTAGCATGGAAAGTATTAGTCAAAAATTCTAAACTTTATTAATAATTAGTCGCTTTTTAATAAAAAGTGTTTCTAAATTTTAAAAAAGTTAATGATATGGCAGTATGCAAGTGAAGAGAGATAATAAGAAAATTAACGTGATGGTATGTCAATATATCGGTTGACATTTTCCGGATCCCAGGAAACGTACATTCTAGATTCTCATATATTCAGCTAATCAAAAATCGGTCAAATGATAAGTCCACGCCACTTGTCAAGAAATGACTTACGTTTCCTAGCAATCAGACATGCATATATATATATATATATATATATATATATATATATATATATATAAAGTGTACATACATGACGTTTCGATTTGTTAATCAATTTCCTTCTTAACTCAGACATTTTACTTGGGTAGCCGTTTGGGCCCACGCACTGGCACATTGTATATTAGTATCCATAGAAAACACCAAATTCCATTACTCAACTTTATCAAGTAAAAGTAGTAGGAGTCGATTAAATTTTGCGCTATAAGTTTTCAACAAACGTTTACTCTGAATAAAGAGATTTCAACTTTCAAACGACACCTAACTGTAAGATATAATTAATCTTCTATTTCTATTGTCACATTATTATGTCTACATGATAGATATTTATATTTTTTTTGTGAACAAAATACAGACAAACTATCATATATTTCCATTTACATAAATAAAAATTCATCCCATTATCATTCATGTTATATTCAAATCAATTTTTATTTTGTTTAGTACAACATAAATAATATTTCACAGCAGAACGCATCCACGATCCAGCCCCTCGCGAGACTCGAACACAAGGCCTATCAGTCCCGCGCACGAGCGCTTAATCTTTAGACCACTGAGCCGGTCAGCATCTAACGGTGTCAATGTCTAACTTCAACCAATCCATGAAATTGAGCCACCGTATACATTTGTCTTCAGTGAGCTGATGTCTCACAACAGACCTGGTTGAACTCTACTGAAGAGACCAATACTAAGACGAAACAGCCATCCAGTGCTTCCAAGTGTTCCAGCGTGGTCTAGTTTCAATTGACTCATGATTTCAACTAGTGAAATTTTTAAAATCACCACAAAACCCCTTCTGATAATAAATAATAATTATCAATAAAGTAAATTTTATCCAATCAAAAAAAAATTCAAATTTGTAACTGGATTGGTTTGAACTGGAAAGAAAAAAAAATTAATAAACAGTACACCTACATAGTTTAACTTTTTTGGTTGATTTAAAACTTTCAGTAAACAACAATGTTGTTTTCTTTAAATTTCGTTATTTATTAATTTATAATTTATGAAATACATTAAACAGTAACAAATAATAACAAACTAGGAAATAAATAAGTAAATATTATTGATTATTTAAATGTATTCAATACCTGTAGAAATATTATATCGAATTTATAATGAACTTGATATAAATGATTTAGAAAATTGTTCACTTGTTTGTAAACAATGGAATATATTAATTAATGATATTTATTTATGGTTACCAAAATGTTATAAAAAATTACAAAAATTTAATTGGATTGATTCAAATTTATTAAATTTATTAAAATTATGTGGAATATATGATATAAATATATTTATTAAAAAACAAACAGTCAAATCAAATAAACAATTACATTATAAATCAGGTTATTATATGAGAAAATTATTTTACTACTTACAACTACTATCAAATGATTGTTATAATAATAATAATGATCTAAATCATATTAATATACATCATAATGAAAATAATATAGATTATTATAAATGTGTTATGATTGGTCCTGGTATAGATTCATCAATTATAAATCGTTATATAATTAATCATATATTGAATTGGTCTATATTAGATCAATTACCAGATGATTTTATTATTCCTAATTCTTATTTAGGTATAAAAAGTAATTTAATTGGAAAAAATATAATGATACAATTACCTAAATTAAATAATTATTCATTAAATACTTTAATTAAAATGACTTGTATTATTCCACAAAATGGTGAATTATTACAAGATAAAAATAGAATATCTGGAAAATATTTACTTAATAATGAAGAAAATAATTGTACTATTGATAAAATTAATTTTTTACCAGAGATTAGTATTTTGTTAAAAGATTGTCATCTTATACTATATATACTTGATATAAGAAAATCAATAGTTAATGATTTAAACTGGGAACAAATTACTAAAGAAATTATAATAATATTAAATGATTTAAATATTTATCAAAGTTTATTAATTATTGGAGCAGGTAATGAAAATGGTAAGGAGGAATGTATCACGCTTGTAGATCTTGTGAGTAAATTACAATGTATTCTATTTAAGAATTCTACCTTGGACAATTTAGGAGAACAGTTGATATTAAAGATCTCTAATGCTCAATGGAGAGTATGGTTAACAACTTCCAATGGAATGGATTATGATAATTTAGCAAAAATGATCAACTGGGGTTTGTACAGAAGCAATGATAATAACAACATCAAAGTTTAATTATTTCAACTTCGAATGATAATTTTAATTAATAAATGTTTTTTACATCGTTCGTTTCCTTAATTTTAAAAGGAATAGATAGAATGATGCTCATTGTATAAAAGTACATTTCAACAGATCCAGTAGTTCATAGTATATGTGCTGAAAATAACTATTCGTTACCATGGCTATTTTAAATGACAATCTTCCTTTATTCAAATTCATTATTATTAATATTTATGGAAACTGTTTACTCATTTGGATTCAATCTATATTATCTTTCCAATACCTTTCTTTTATGTAATTATTCTTTCTGTCTTCTTATTCACAATATTTTTAAAAATTTAAAACGTATCAGGCTAGTGTGATTGAATTGTAACTATGGAAATAAATAATCAGATAACTTTCATTTCATTATTTACTAATGATTAATTGATTACTCCGCATACCTTGTAAATTTAATCAAATGGAATAAAATAAATGAAATTTATTCACAGAATTTTCAGTTTTTGAAAAATAGTTTAAAAAAACACATTAAAATTATCTAAAACAAAACAAACAGATTTATTTTAGATTGATATCATGAACGGATCAATGTCAGACCACTAGAACTCCACGAAATCCGTCTTGAAGCTAGCCACTAGTGAAAACATGATAATTATCAGTATAGGGTTGTGGAGATTGTTGAGTTTAGATTGATATCATGAATGGATCAATGTCCGTGGTTCGAGTCCCACGTGCGGCATCGTGGATGCGCACTGTTGATGAGTTCCATACTAGGATGAAACGGCCGTCCAATGCTTCCGGGTTTTCAGTAGTGGTCTAACATTGATCCAATCATGATATCGATCTAAACTCAAAACTTATTTATCAAAGCTTATTTATCTGGTATAGTAAAAGGAAATGTCATAAATCAGTGATCATTGAGGTTAAGGATTAGTTGGTCATGATGATTTGTTTACCATGAGATCTGATTAAACTTAACACCATGGAGTAGTGTAAAAATCGTGTAACTAAAGTGAATGGAATCGGTATTATGCGTCATATTAGCCGTATGATGTGAGTAAAAAACTTTTATCGACGTTGTTATACATCACCACATGGTACTTAAAAATTAACATGTGTTCTAAAACAGTCCTGAAATAATGAGAAGACGGAGTTGATCTGAAAAATGTGATGTATTTGCGCTATACATTTCGAACAATCTGGTCACACATATACTTGTCAGGGCATTTTATATGAAAATTAATAAAGGTCAATTACATGAAAGTTAAAGTACAAGTTTATTAATAGGTGCAAAAGTCAGTTAATACCAAGACCTCTTGTTTATTCGGTTCCAAAGAAAAAAGTTTATATCAGTCTACCATATAAAGGCGAATCTAACAGCATAGTTTTAAGACAGAGATTGAAAGCAGCCATCGAGAGTACCTATTATGCTGCTCAATTGGTTGTGATTGAAAAGTTTAAGGCCATGATTCCTAGTAGACCCAGACAATGCACTAATTATTATGTCACGTCCCATTGTATTTACCAATTTACATGTTTGTGTGGACACACATACATAGGGAGGAGTAATCGAACAATGCAATCAAGGGTCAATGAAAATGTGCCTAAATGCCTTCAAAATCAATGTGCATCAAACGATCTTATCAACGACGGTGGTAGAAAACCCGGTTCATCGATAGCAAAACATATAATTGAAACGGGGCACAAAATTGACATTAATACAGCTTTTAAAACGTAGTATAGTAATTGTCAAGAGCGAATTCTTAAGTTTATTGAAGCCTTGGCTATTCGTAAATTTAAACCCCCCTTATGTGTACAATTTACCTTGGTAATCCTTAAGTCATTCTATGGCCTAGGATAACGCGAAAATTTCTTATTCTTTCTCTCTCCTTTGTTACAATTTTTTGTTTGTTTGTTTGTACTTTAGCTTTCATGTAATTGACCTTTAGTAATTTTTATATAAAATGCCCTGACAAGTATATGTGTGACCAGATTGTTCGAAATGTATAGCGCAAATACATCACATTTTTCAGATCAACTCCGTCTTCTCATTGTTTTATCGAAATTTATAAAAGGGGCTAATTGCTTTAAGTCCTGAAATAGTCAGTTCTGATGACAGTATTTGTGCTTCATTTTTGTTATGTATCCTTTGCATTCTTACTGGTTTTTTTGCTGAATTGATCACATAACCATGTGATTGACCGACCTTGACCTCATAAGTTGGTCTCTGGGCCCAAATCTTGAATGCATACTAACCTGTACTTAAAGATAGAGGTTGTCTCGATGTCATAATTTGCTTAAGATCGTTAAAAGAAAAATAAGAAATTTGGCTGACGATATAAACTCATCGGTGACAAATCAGTAAATTTTTATCGAGATCATTAACCGATCTAAGCTAAAAACTACTGAAAACACTGGACGTTTTCTTGTCCGAGTATGATACTCCTCAGCTGGGGTCATCTGTGACCCTAACTTAAATCGGTTCGTAATGTCAATGAAATTAAACGTTATCTACAACCATCATACCGATAATAAATCTTTATCTAAAACGTAATAATAATGTACAAATCACACCCATAGGTATCAACTTATTGGTTTCATTTTTAAAATCGCTGATATTCAGAATACCGTCCTCGGTAGGGTAGTGGATGTGCTTTGCTTAAGAGTCCCGCATCGGAGTGAAGCATCTTTCTAATGCTTCCTAGTTCTCAACCGTTATCTCACTTCGGTTATCTCATGATCGCAATATTTTGGTGTTATTTGTCACGTATGTAGTGAATAATATTCAAATATAAAAATTAGTACATTTCATATTCATTGGAAAACTGGTCAGTTCTTATCTGTGGAATAGGAAGTTGTCTATTGAATCTGTGAATTTAGATGTTTAAATAACCTTCAGATGTAAAGCTTTAAATTTGATCTCTTTAAATGCTTTCACTCTAATGTAAATTCTTTTTTTGGCTATAGTCCGTCCAGTGATCAAAGAATAGAAAATTTTCTGAATTATCAAAACATCCTGTTGTTTTGAGCGACAATGTAGTTAAGCATTTCGAAAACGTGTTTTTTTTTCTGTATACGTATATGATGTAAATGATGCACGGTTGATTGCTATGATGATTTTATTAAAAAAACTGTTTGTTCCACTATTCTTTTAGAGATGCTGTGTTATTTATATTTCATATATTGATACTTCTCAGTACCAGTACACTTATTAATAAAACTGATTAAGATAAAGAAGATTAATTAATGTGTTTGACAGAATTAGGTCATCTCATTTCAACAAATTTGCAGGTAACTAATTTTATAATATATATTCATATGAATTTTCATTGTATATTTACGTAAGTCACAGAGAATTTAAATGTATTATACACTAAAGAAGGGAAGCCAAAGAACACACTACTTCGGTAAATAGAAGCAGGTATGAAAAGGATGAAGAACAACTGGAAAGAGCTGAAAAGGATTGCCCGCGACAGGGTTGGATGAAGAGTTCTGGTGGGCGGCCTAATGCTCCTCTACGAGGAGTAACGGGCGTAAGCAATACAGTAAAGAATTGAACATTTATACTGACTATCTTCAATCCAGTTTAAAAACAACCGCGTAATGAAATACACTATTACGGAATAGCTTCGAAGGATTACTCCATATAGGATCAGCAAAAAGAAAAATTCAATCTTCATAAACCTACATCAATTATCAAACCACTTTACTAATGTACACAGAAAGGTTACTTAAGAGTTGTTTGTTGATCATTTTTTATCCTGAGGAATAAATTATATCACTTCATATTATTGATTTTCTCAGCGAATAACCAGTATTTCTATACTATTACCAGAAAACGTATTACCATATTATAGATGGATTTTTTGAAGAGACGATTAGGTGTATTCTGATGTTTACTGATAATTTGGCCTTGCATTCAGAGATCAATAAAATATATACGAATCTGAAACACAGTTAGGTATATGAATTTTAATTTATTACAAACTATCATGGCAACAAGTTAGTTGATATTTATTATGTAGGGTCTTTAATACACGTATCAAAGTACATAACTATGTTTTGTGAGAGACACTAGTTGTACTAGTAATGTCAAAGTTAGTAAAAATACCAATAATAGTAATATTATTGAGTATATCGAGAGATTCTAGTTAGAGCATCTGCACTCAATAAACATCTAGTTATAATTCAGGTGATGTTACGCTTAATTTTTTAAAATCGGAACAGAATTGTGTTCACCGAAACAATAAACCTGATCTTGAATAATTTAAGTGCATACATTAGAATACATTGCTTGATTAGTGGCTGGACCTTGATTCCTTAGTAGCTTAGAAAGGTACTCATACGTGAACCTCAATTTTTTTAAAAATGCTTGTACCTGATATTATATCTTTCCTTTTGCTAAAAATACGCTATCTCAGTGCATTTGAGAAATGGTCTCCATTATGCAGTACATATTTTAAATACACTCTAATCAATTTTCAATTAACTGATTTTTACATCAATTCAGTAGGGATGTTCTAAACAGTATAGACTGAGAAAATAAATGCGGTTTTCTAGGAGATATGGTTTAGTAGCATAACAATAGAACGAAGCTAAATTATATAGCAGTTTACTTGTTTCTGATGATTTGAACAAGAACAAAGTGATAGTCTCTGATATCTCTATAAAGATATACACATTTCGAAGGAATTAAAAGACGATGCGTTTGTTCCATTCAAATGTTATTTTTTAGGGATAACTTTACTAGGATATACCTAATATAAGCTACATTACGTTATTCACAATATATGTAACTATCAGATAGTCTACTAAGTTTACAGAATTTAAGTCAACTATACATTAGAACAAGAAATTTTGTAAACAGAGCTTTTATTAAGCAGGCTTTGTCAACCTTGATATGTTGGTTCCTGATGACATCTCCAGATGGATACGAGAAACTTACTTTTCCTTTGCTAACATACATCACTTATGGTGTTGAAGTGATGTCCGATAACTACCTAAAGGATAAGTATACTAGACAGCAGTTTTTTCTGTTGTACTTTGTGAGTGTGAAACATGAAACATCAAACCAAATGTGACTTTTATGTACAGCGGCGGAGTCGAATCTTTTGGTTTACCACCGTCTTAACATACTTTATTTTGTAAGTTGTTTCTGACATGTTTTAATTAATATTTGTATTTTCTTTTTAATCATCAACTGGCTAATTTTTCTTAATACCATTTGACGATTATGAAAAGCTGAATTCAGATTAACCTCTACTACCATAACAATTCTCGGCTTTATATGCAAAAAAATAATTAAAAATACGATTATATGGTTTTATTAAATGACATTGCTGGAAAAGAAAATTTGGTGAGACTATAATTTATGAGCGACTTGTGAGCGACGCTAAAGAGACCTTGAGAATGACCACCTACATACTACTGCTAAATGAAAATTATAAACTGTTGTGAGGAATCAGGATTAATATTTACAATTGATAGTT